AGATTGGGATCAAAAGAAAGTTCTCCAAAAAGATTCTGTTAACTCACTTTCTTTGGTTTGTTGTCTGCTAAGATCATCACCTTGAGTTCTTGACAGAAGCAGAACATCTTTCGTTCGTGATTTCCGCTGTATCTGTAGTTTTCAAACACTTTTGCTATGCCGATTACTGTATTGCTGAGGGAAATATCTTTCAACTGTAAATCTGCCTCTTACTTGTTTATCCTGACACGAGAAGCTCATGTGCTAGAGTAAAGAGACTATGCTCAAGCAGTGTGCCCAACAGTCCAAGTCTACTCTTCTCAATTTCCACATCTGTTGAGGTGGCCTGTGCCAGGAAGAGAATAGAACCATTGCTTCCGCGGTCCAGTCATATAACCGTCATTATTCATCGAAGTGCTGCACGGAATTCAACTGTGCTTGCTCCTTCGTTAGAACACCTGTCTCCTTGCCTTACAACAGCACTTACAGGTCACAGGCAAGAAACAGCTGATTTTGTCGAAAGTGTATCTTAGCCAAAATATTGAACGGATTTCCAGAAACACTCGAGGTTTGAACGATCTTCTTATTTCACTCAGGTTTAACTCAACAATGCAATCAATGGCGATGATTGATGCGAAACACTGAAGCCCAGAAGCGTCTGAAGCATTTCACAGCCTAATTTTACTTGCAGATCAGCTGAGCTGGACGAGTTCCTTATAACTTCCAGGCGATACGTAAGAGGCAGGCTTTCGTAACTGTGTGGCATGTCGAAATCATAGGGTGAGGACCTGTTGCCCAAACTACTCACCAGGGCAATCTTATCTGCGTCATCTAGGTCAGCAAGATATCTATCCGGATATTCCTCTAGGATGAGACCTTCGACTTTGCCAGGATTATCAGTTTTTCAGAGGTGAAAGTCGAGAACAGTACTGAATATCATTAACGTGTCCCTGACGATGAGAAATCATTTATTCAGATAGCTGTATTTCAACCTTGAAACTGAGGAACTGCCTTTGGTTTTGTCGAAACTGTAAATATGTGAGCGGAGTCATTTGAATGAAATTAGCGATCGGAATTTCTTTAACATGTAAACTTTTAGGTGTTAACAAGTTTACAAAAAAGCTAAGATGTCCAAATGTCATTCCAAACAACGAACTGCTGGATTTCTTGTCACGGGTACCTTCGGACGATGAAATCGTAAGTACGTTGAGTGTCCGTCATGACTCAGAGTTTCAATGTCATCATCAAGCTTTTCACTATGATCAATGTTCAAAATATTTCAGCTGAGTTTCAAGAATAAGGTTCAGAATTCACCAGCAGAAGGAGAACGAAAATCAGCTGGAGAATAACCTCAGATACTATTGATG